CTGGGTTATACAATTATGTGTGTAATGTGCCTTGTAGATTTATTACTTGTTGCAATGTTCATAAATTAGTAGTGATATGTTATTTTGTTTTTATATTCTGGAGGTATTTATTTATGATATTTGTACTATATGTAATTTGTTCATGAGGAATGTACTACATTAGACCAATTTCTTATATATCGCAAGTGTTGTATAGAAAATGACTATATTTTGTATTTAACCTATACGCTAGATACGTTATAAATTATAAATTATGACAAAAATGATTTTATTGAATATTTATATAGTTGGTCATAACATTAGATACCTATAAATATAGGTTAAAAATAATAATAATCAATATATGAACATATTACAGTACATTTACATGTAATATATTATATGTGCTACGTGTTTCATGACATAAGAGTATACATGGTACTATTTTCACGAGTTCACTAGTTTGCATGTTAAATGCCCTTTTTGGAATTCACGATGTATACATTATTTTTACCGATGACCTCTTGTCTATAGTTATATGTAATAGAGTTTCTTAGGTATATGTTGCTTATTTCATAAAGAATTTTCTTCCACACTACCTGTTATATGAAGTGTTTGCACATAGACACTCTCCTCAACATAATTTTTTTTCATGAATGCTTAAATAGATACTTCGTAATTATTTTATCACATTATTAATCATTTACCGTGAAATATTTCTTCACCTTTTGTACTTGAATTCTTACTAATGATCGGTAGTTTTGATTATTTTTAAAAAATATTCTTTTAAATTTTTTTTTTAGGTAAAACTTATAATCATTATGACGTATTGTTTTTGGTGACTCGGATCGATAAGTGCTTGTAGCTCTTAACATTGTAAAAGAAAGTACATGATAAATTATCTTCTAAGTTGTTATGTATTATTTATCTCGTAATCCTATAATGACTAAGTTTATGGTATATCTTCAGTTTTGAGTCATTACTGAAAGAGAGCTAATACTATTTCACTAAATAAGAGTTTTCTAGGTGTATTGGGATAACGAAGCGCTCTAAATCTACATGAGGTATCTTTTGTCCTCTAACCATCATTTAATTTATTCTCCAAAAAAAAAACAAAAAAACTCTGTAAAATCCTTGGTTGGGTCTACTCAGCTTTCATTTATAGCCTTATCGGTTTATTGTATTCATAGTCTCAAATGGTGCCTCGTCGGCATGCTAGTTCATTATCAGTAAGTTGGCCTTACCGGCCTACTTTTTGTCTGTCATATTGTTGTGACCTTGCCGATCTAGTTATTTGTTCAACAAGTTGTTGTGGCGGCCTTGTTGGCCCTCACTGTTTCTTTTCCTTTATGTGTTAGTTGTTTCGCTCGGTTAAGTGAGGTACTGGGTCTCTGTTTCGCCTCCGCTAGATTGGGGCGTGACACGTGAACCCACCTACGGTCCGTGGGTAGGTTCCGTGAGTGATACCTGTAGTATAGCTAATTAATTTTAGTTAAAGTTAAGAGAGGGGCTTAGGGTTAATTAGATAACTAACTAGGGTTAGTTAATACTAATTAATACTAACTATAAATACCTAATAGACCCTAAAACTAACTCAATTAAATCATTCATTCAAAACCCAAAACAAAACTATTTCCGTCTTAAAATATTCTCTCTCTAAGACTCCATTGAAGAGCAAGAACAAGGTCAAGCTTAGGGTTCAAGTTCCAACCTTTTCACTCCAATTTCGTGAGGAAAACATCAACTAAGGTATGTAATCTTGATCCATGGAGTGCTTTCCTCCATGGAGCCCTTAAACTCTCCAATTTGAAACTAGGAAAATTCTTCAAAGACCTAGGGTTTTCTTCTAACCATGTATTCTTCCTCAAATCGTTTTCAAAGGTTAAATCATCATAGGTTATGGATTAATTACTGTTTTTAGAATGTTTTTATGATAAATTCACCATGAATCCATGGAATTCCCTCTAACCCTAATTTTATGAATGCAATGTGGGTGTATTTGTAGCATGGTCAATTGTATTGAATTGTTCTTATTGTAATGTAATTTCTTGGTCATATTATTGATCAAGTTGAATGCAATAACCCTAGATTGAAAGGGGGAAGGTGATCCCTTGATCCAAGATGCGTAAGACTTGAGGTTTATGCCAAATTATGAGTTACATGTATATGAACTATATTGTCATGACTATAACCTTATTATTTTGTTAATTGTAAGTTCATTCTCATAAACACATAATGATCATGATGTGAAGGTTCTTCTCACTATGTTAAGGTTCTAAGGTTGAAAGTCCATTCTCACCTAATGAACCTATGAGTTATTATTATGAATTCTGTTGGATGGATGGTAAGATACTACTTCATGCTTGTAAATTCAATTCAAAGACTAAATATGTAATTGTGGGAAGTAATGCTTAGCATCGAGTGGATATTGAATATGAGATGGAAATACCCCCGCTAGAGAGGACATATTTCTATAATGTATCTCATGATATGGAAGCTCCCCTGCTAGAAAGGACAGGTTTCTAGTAACAATCTCCGTATCCCATAACTATTTGCCCTCATAGGTCTTTAGCTAGTGGATCCATGATGAGTCCACAATTTGGACTCATTTAAGGCTATATTTTAATTGAATTAGTGTCCTCAAATGCATATTTTGTCTCAATAACTAATATATGTAAACCCTTGATTTTCAGGTATTTGGAGTTAGAGACAAAACATGGACACTATTTGGAAACAAGGAACAAAGAAAGCCTTAGGAATGAATAAAAGAAGGCCTAATGATTAAAGATGTTGATCGGCGAATCGCCAATATCATTCAGCGATATGGCAAATAGCCAAGATACCGCCTAAAGTTATAGAATGCTGGAGCTAAAATAGGGGTAAATTCGGCGAGCATCAACCATATTCAGCATATCGCCGATCTAGTCAGCGAAGGACAACCAGGTCACCAAAAGATTGCCTAAAGTTACAGTAGCCAGACCAAGAAAAAGCGAAAAATGAAGGCGATATAAAGAGCAATCGGCGAATCACCGACCCGTTAGTGATACCCGAGTTACTTCACCGAGCACCCCTGAGCAGTGACATTTTAGACTTGTTTAAAGTAGTTTTGGCTAGAGAGAGCAATTCATTCAGAAAGGGAAAAAAGAATTATTTAGAGAGAAAACACTACCAAAGGGTTGGGGGAGCGATTTTAGCAATATTTTGAGAGAGATTTTGTAAGAAAGAAGATTATCAATTGAATTTCATCTATATTTCTCATTTTGTACCCAACTAAGGGAGTGATAATTAATTTTGATATTTTTATTTTTGAGATGAGTGGCTAAAACCATTTACTTGGGGTTTTGATCTTGAAGCCAATTGTTGAATTTACTTGATGGGTGTTTGTTAATTGCGAAGAATGGTGCTAATTTGAAGTGGGTCTAAGTTGTTGCAGTGTTTCGAGATTGATTTGCATTACTTCGTGTGTCAATTTCAGTGTTGTGCACTTACTCGAGAGAGAGGTGTGAGACCAAGGTGGAAATCTTAGCATCCTTAGTAGTGGGTTTCCTTAGTTTCAACTCGAGAGAGTGAAACAAGGAACCCTTCCTTTGTATCCAGCTCGAGAGAGTGGATTTGATGAGGGTAGAGAGTTGGGTTTCATTCAATCAGTGTTGAAGTTCAAGATAATTCAACATAGAAAAGGTAATTATTCGAGAGAAAGTTACTTTATATATGGTTCGACCTACCCACCACAAATTAGTCCATTATGAGCAGTAATGTTTACCCATTATGTTGAGATTCAATAATTGGCTGATCAATTCCCCGAGTTTGACTCTAATATTTTATTGCTTGTGTTGAGCTATAAGTTTGAATTGGTAGTTAAAACCCGGAATTTTAGATTTGAATATTAATTGTGCAAGAAATGTTTGATTGAAGAGATTCTCATTGTACTTTTATTAAAGTAATTCGAAGGAAGCACTACTCCCTATGGGATCGGCGCCAACTCACGTAGTTAGGTTATTATACTGAAGAACGATCGTTGGCATTTAGTATTGGATGAAATGCCACTTGATACGTTAATCAAAATGGCGCCGCTGTCGGGGAGTAGCATTACTTAGAATTCCTTGATTGAAGAATTGACACTCTAAAAATTCATTGGCTGTAGTTGAAGAAGTTTCGGCTGCTTTATGTAGGTAGTGGTTGGACTATGTGAAAGTGAACATGAGTGAAGAAAATATGAAAGGCAACCGAGCAGGTCATCGATAAGGTATAGACAACATCAACAGTGTCTACAACCCAACTCAATCGGGTTGGATGGGTGCAATCTGCATTCCATGAACTGATGAGAGTGCATTGTTTGAAGTCACTAGCACAACTCTTCATCTTCTCCAAATGAGGGGAATATATGGAGGGATAAATCACGAAAACTCGTATGAGCATGTGAGAAATTTTACTTAGGTTTACTGCCCTTTTTCATTCAAAAATGTGTCTCAAGAGTCAATTCGGCTGCGGTTATTCCCACTGTCCTTAATAGGAGAAGATAATAAATGGTTAGCAGAGTTACCAAACAATTCCATCACATCATGGGAGGAGCTGGTTGTAGCATTTAACACAAGATTCTTTCCTCCATCAAGGATGATGAAACTTAGAGACGAAATTCAATTTTTCAAGCGACGGGAGGGAGAACCTATCCATGAAACGTGGGTGAGATTCAAGAAGCTTCTACTTAAATGCCCAACTCATGGGCTATCAAATGAGTTGTTACTTCAATATTTCTACCGGAGTCTAGATTCGGTTAATAAAGGAGTAGCTGATCAATTGGTACAAGGAGAAATAATGTTACAACCATTTGAGGTAACTTTGTTTCTTCTGGATGAAATGAATAGGATAAACCAAGTATGGTACACCCAAGAGGATCAGGTCTCTCCATTTCATTTTCGATTAACGCAAGAACAACTTGATAAAGAGATTTCAAGTTGAGGAGGGTTCTTCTTCCGATTACTCAAGCCCGGGGGAGAATCAAGGTTGGAACTTCAAAAGATATGAGGAGGGCTTCCACCCACACCATAAACAACAAGGAGGAAATCAAGGTTGGACCTATCAAAGGAGAGAAGAACCAAGAAGATATCAACATGATTGGGCTGAGCAAGATGATTACTAGAAAAAGGGATATGATTATGAGGAGAACCATAATCACTCAAGTGAAAGCCCAAAATCAAGTGGAAGTGCAGGCAGCTCCCGGGTGAATGATTTATTATCACACATACTTAATAAAGTTGATGGGTCGGATAATTTTTTGAAAGGAATGAAAGATGACTTTTTATCATTGAACAGTAAAGTAAATTCTCATGTCGATGCCATCAAAATACTTGAAGGACAACTGAGTCTATTATCAGCTCAGTTGACATCAAAGATATCGATGAAAGATGATGAGAGAGGGCTGGCTGTAGTTACACGTAGAGGAAAGGTGGAAATATGCAATGTGATGGGAAATGAAGATACTCAAAAGCATGAAGAAGGTAAAGGCATGGAGGAACAAAAATCACTTATTCAACAAAACCTTGCTAAAGAACTGGAAAAAGAAGTGGAACAACTTGTTCAAATTTCAAAAGTTATGCAACCTTTACCCAAAATACCTCTACCATTTCCCCAACGCTTAAAAAATAAGAATGAAGATGAGAAATTCAAGAAGTTCTTGTCAGTATTTCAAAAGCTATCAATAAGCCTTTCGCTGGTGGAAGAATTATTGAAAATGTCGGGATATGCCAAGTTCATGAAAGAGATAGTCACAAAGAAAAGGAACTTGGATTGTGAAGCAATTGAAGTGTCCCACAGTTGCATCGCAATTATGACTAAAGAGCTGATCACAAAGAGAGAAGACCCCGGGGCATTCACCATCCCTTGCACCATTGACATGCTCCAATTCGCGAAAGCTTTATATGACTTGGGGGCAAGCATCAAATTAATCCCCTATGCAATATACAATCAACTTGGTTTGGGAGAACCGAAAGCAACCACCATGAGACTCCTGATGGCAAAGCAGTCAATCAAATATCCGGTGGGGATACTCTACGACATCTTGGTAAAGGTAGATCGGTTCATCTTTTCGACTGATTTTGTGATTTTGGACTGTGAGATCGACGCTGAAATTCCTATTATTTTAGGAAGGGCATTCTTGGCAACGGGGAGAGCATTGGTGGTTGTTAAAAGTGGAAAATTGAAGTTTTGGGTGAATGATGATGAGGTAACATTCAATATTTGTAAATCCATGAAACACCTAAGTGATATTCATGTGGTGTGTACTGAGGATATTATTGATGAGGCGGTAGCTAGTGTGAGACATTTGATGTGCAAGAATGAACCAGTTGAATTTGTGCTTACTAATTATGATGAATCTGAAGTTTAGGGCTATGAGGAAGTAGTAGCTGCCTTAACGGGATTAGGAGCATATTCAAAGAATCCAATCAAGTTTGATATTAACCTAAAAAATACTGAAAGTCCTCCTGCAAAGTCGTCAACGGAGGAACCACCTAATCAGGAATTGAAAGTCCTGCCCGTTCATCTCCAATATACTTTCTTGGGGGAAAACAACACTTTACTAGTGATCATTATAGCTGATTTTCTTGAATGGAAGGTGAGTTTGCTCATTGAAGTATTGCGAAAGCATATGAAAGCTATATGATGGACCATTGCTGATATAGTAGGCATTCTCCTTGGTATATGTACTCACAAGATTCAACTTGATACGGATTGTAAGCCTAGTGTTGAGCATCAGCGGAGATTGAACCCACCAATGAAAGAAGTGGTAAAAAAGGAGATCATCAAGTGGTTGGATGCAGGTGTGATCTACCCTATTGCGGTTAGCAAATGGGTAAGCCCGGTGAAATGTGTACCGAAAAAGGGAGGTATCAGTGTAGTCCCAAATGCAAAGGGGGAGCTTGTGCTGACTAGACCGGTGACCGGGTGGATAGTATGCAGGGATTATCGGAAGCTAAATTCATGGACTAAAAAGGATCATTTCCAATGCCCTTTATGGATCAAATACTTGACCGGCTATCAAAGAGGGGATGGTACTGCTTTCTATATGGGTACTCCGGTTACAACCAAATCCCTATTAGGACAAATAAAAAACCACCTTCACCTGTCCTTATGGAACGTTCACATTTAAAAGAATGCCATTTGGGCTATGTAATTCCCTAACGACATTTCAGCGTTGCATGTTATCCATTTTTGTGGACATGGAAGAAGACTCTATGGAGGTATTCATGGACGACTTTTTAGTCGTAGGAGATACATTTGAAGAATATTTGTGTAACGACCCTAAAAATGAACTAGTGAAAATAGCGCCTAACGTGTGTGCGTCTGAGTTGGTGTGAGGTTTGATGTTGTTGTATGTTGTCCCGAGCTTTGGTTAAGGGGTTTAGGGGTCAAACGTCAAGGTACAACTCCCCAAGGACCACCCTAGGGGTCCTTGAGGAGGACCCTAAGTCTAACCCCAAGGCTGCCCCAAATGACCAAAGTTGGCCAAAAGGGGTGACCTACGGAAGGGGTCCTCGCCTCGTAGGTCCATCCAAACCCTGTGGATGGCCTCCTTAGGTCAAGTCCCCCAAAGTAGGGTCTCCGATCCAAACCAGAAAGGGAAAGTACGGTCCCATCAATCCATCCACGGTCCGTGGATGGTGACTCGTGGATTGGACCTGCAATCTGGTTTTTTAGTTCGGCCTTGGTGGAGGTGAATTGGTAAATTCACCCCAAGTCTTTTAAAGTGTATGTGCGGTTATTTTAAGTGTATTAAAATATTTTAAGAGTATTAAAACATTGAAACCCTCAGTTAGACGTCACCTCTCAAGTCAAACCTTTCCCTCTGAAAAATATTCTCTCTAGAAACTCCATTGGAGATCAAGGTCAAGATCAAGCTAGGGTTGGGGATTTCAAGATAGTTCTCATTCAATTTTTATGGGTAATCAATAGCAAAGTATGGTCATCCTTCATATAGGTCTAGATTGCACCCTAGAGTCAATTTCAAAGAAGTTTCAAAGTGATTTCACGTTCATGAAAAGCCCTAGGGTTTACTCAATCTCATGGGTTCTTGCATCAAACGTTTTAAAATGATAAACTATGATTATATTGATGTTAAATTTATAATTTAAGATCATTTTACTCTATGAAACCATGATTTCTCTCAATTTCTAAATCGTCACTGATGAAGTGGGTCTATTGATTATGAATGAATGATGGTGGATATATGCTCATGTTTATTTAGATTATTGAATTGTATCATCATCTATGCCTAATTATGGTGAATTGTTGGTGAATTGAGGATTTGTGATCATAGCCTTGAAAGGGCAAGTTTGACCTAATTACTTGATGTATTAGAATTGTGATTGAATTGTTGATCCACTTGAAAGGTGGAGGTGTTTACTTCCTATGTATGTTGTGATAATGGCCTTGAAGGTGTAGTGTGAGGAATTGACGTATTATCATGATGTTGTATATATGAATGTGATATGATGCATGTGTGTGGTTTAAATGGATGAATGATGTACATGTCTAGAAGTTAATTGTATTAGGATTGGAATTGGTCTCATCTTTAACACACTTGAATGAATAATGAATGAATTTCAATGATAATGTTAATGAGGAAGTACTTATTGAAAAGCTTTTCTCAATTGTACTCTAAAGAATTATAATGATGTGTTGATTGAAAGGATATTCTTGATCTTACACTAATGAACGATAATGGGATTCTTAGATGAAAAGCTATTTTCATCTTTGAATCTACGAGCTATCCAATGAATGAATGTTGGGTGGAGATGGATGCCCTCACGTGCGTTGAGGCGGGGTGTCTAGTAACAATCTCTTATCCCTGTGAGGAATGGTAAAATACTCTATGGGAATGTAGGCTAAGCACTGAGAGGATATTGAATGAGATGGAAGCTCTCACGTGAGTTGAGGCGGCGTTTCTAGTAGAAATCTCTTGAGATGGATGCCCTCACCTAAGTTGAGGCGGGGTATCTAGTAGAAATCTCATTGTCCCATAACTATGTAACTATGTGCCCACATAGGTCTAGCTAGTGGATCCACTTAAGCTAAATACCGGTTACCTTGGGCAAGTAGACCAACCCTTTCGATGTGGGATAGTACATCAGATTCCATGATCAAGCTCTCATGGTCTATGTAGGTTAAACGCTTATTCCCATCTTGTGAGATGTGCATTATAGTTTCTTGAGGAGTTCTATGAAGTGTGAGTAGTAGTATGGGATGTTATCCATACATGGCATGAGTAGGCTTCAAGAGGGATACAGTGAGTTATCTAAGTCTTAATGACTATTCTATGAAAGCACTTTAAATAAAGTTATTGAAGAATGTTGACTCTTAAATGCTTAATGTAATGATGCATGTTATACGTGGATGATATTGTGAGTTACTTCCTTGTTATGACTTATTGTATTTGAATGTGCCTTGCCTTTGGTGACTTCAAAGGAGTACTTAGTGTGAGTAGTATTATGGGATGCTACTTGTACATTGCATAAGTATGACTTAGGGGTCATCTTAGGTGATGGTCCTTAAATGATGAAATGACTTGTGAATGGTTTAGGTCTTTTTTGTATGTGTATTATTGGAAATGGAAAGGTTGAATGGTAAGTTCATTTTTGGTGACTTTAATGTGGTATCTTGGTGTGGATGGTGGTATGGGACGCTATCCATACATTGCACAAGGTATATCATGAGGGTTACTTGAGGTGAAGGCTATATGTTAAGGTGAAGAGTTACATGTTGATATTGTTCAAATGTGATGTTATGACTTGCGTGATGATTATATTTGTCTTTGATGTCTCTTATGCTATTGTTTATGATATTTCTAAAAAGTGGCATAATGCATGGTTTCCAACCAAAATTTTCCTTTTAAAGCATGATTTTGCATGGTCATCATACTTGGTACATTTTTGTGTGCTAACCCATATTTCTCTTATTTTTACTACAAATGTAGGTTCCGGCAAGTGATTGATTCTAGCTAGGATTTGAAGTGTTTGGATAGAGTTTCCTCCAAGACTTGGTATATCCTCATGGATTCGAGGACAAGAACTCTTATGTTGCATTTCTTCATGTAATAGACATTTAGTAGTTTTTCTTCGATTGAAAAGGGCCGTGACCCTATCTTGTTAAAGTTTTGTCTAAGATGTCCATGTGAGAGTTTAGTATTCCACTGTTTATTAAATGTCTTTAGATTATATGGTTTTTAAATATTTTTTTTAATTCCTTACTATTTCGATTACCTATGCGATGAATGCATGCTATTAAGCTTGTATAACAACCCTTCGGAGTCGAGTACGCCGTGTTACAACTAGGGGATGTTATCTGGTCGTGACAAACATGGTATCCGAGAACAATGTTTTGGGAATGGTTTTTAGGATTGATATTTTACAAGCCACGTCTAGTAGAGTCTTGTTCATCGGTGTGAGTCGCGACACATCTATATGAGAGAGGCTATAGGACGTTAGAAAGTTACACGTCTTTCATATTCTTGAAGTTGTGCCTTGGACTTTAGCTTTATAGAAGTCCGTTTCCTAATCCTTCTTTTTTGTTTATAGGATATGAATACAAGGGCTAACCCAAGAAAGGCGGAAGAGCAGAATATGAATGGGGGAGTTCCTCCCTAAGGTCTTCAAGGTGACCAAGTTCCTCTAGGCAATCAAGAGAATGAAGTTCCGGTGGTTCCCCTGGACATGACTAATGAGGAGATTAGGTCGGATTTTCTAACCTTAGCCCAAGCCATGACGACTCAAGTGAATCGGGATGTGGGGCCTAGGGTGAATGCCAATGAGAGTACCATGACCTCAAGATTGAGAGACTTTATGAGGATGAATCCTCCTATTTTCCTTGGTTCAAAAGTGGGAAAGGATCCCCAAGAATTCTTGGATGAAGTGTATAAGATAGTCAATGCTATAGGAGTATCTTCTAGGGAGAATGCGGAGTTGGCTTCCTATCAATTGAAAGATGTGGCCCAAGTGTGGTTCACTCAATGGAAGAGCAATAGGCCTTTAGAAGCGGGTCCTATAGAATGGGAGGAGTTTAAGAGAGCTTTCCTTGGTAGGTACTTTCCCCGTGAGAAGAGGGAGGTTAAGGTGGAGGAGTTCATAAACCTTAGCCAAGGGGAGCATGAGTGTGGAGGAGTATTCCTTGAAGTTTACCCTATTGTCTAAGTATGCTCCATATTTGGTGTCCAGCCCTAGAGATGAGATGAGTCACTTTGTGATTGGTGTGTCCGACCTTGTTAAGGAAGAGTGACGTATGGTGATGCTTCATGATGATATGAACATTTCTAGACTCATTCTGTATGCTTAATCTATTAAGGAGTTCAAACTTGAGAGGAAGAATAGAGAGTTGAAAAGGGGTAGATCCGATGAGCAAGGTCAACCTAGGTCCAAAAAGAGGTTCTCCAACCAAGATTCTTCAATGGTGTACAATGATAGGGTGTCTAACCCTAATTCCCAAGGAGGGAGTGGAGGTGGTTCTTCTTTTGAGAGGTCTAGATGTGCCAAGTGTGGGAAGGAACATTTGGGTAAGTGCCTTGCCGGCACTGATGAGTGCTTTGGGTGTGGAAAAAAGGGTTATAAGATGAGGGATTGCCCAACACTCATGGAAAAAGGAAGGGAGAACATGCAAACTTCTCTTGGTGGCTTGGATCCTAATGCTCCAAAGAAGAACCGTTTCTACGCACTTCAAGACAAGGAGGGCAAATGAGCTAATCTGGATGAAGGTACCGGTAAGTTATAGTTCCTTTTCTTATATTGAGGATCCTGATGCTGTTTTTCATGATAGCCTTAGTTAGGTTTTCTCCTAAGTGGGGATGGTATGTTGAGTAGTAAGGTTGTGGAGAGTGTTGATATCCTTACCACTTTTCCTTCTATTCGTATTAAAGCTTGTGACCAAGAGTTCCTTGTAGCTTGTTTCATGTTTTGGAGTTATTTTTGAATTTGAGTTTCCATGGTCTCCTTATGTTGTGCATGTTCTAGTTGAATTCTTTTTATATGAGAAAATGAGTTTCCATGAATTGTGTTCCTCATGTTAATATGCATCTATGATGAGTTGCCTAAATATTTCATGAGTTGGCTTGTTGAGCATGCCTAAATATGTTTTTATGAAGAAGTTGCATAGTGTGCCTATATGAGAAAATTGCATAATGTGCTTAATGATGTTGTGATGAGCATGATGAGATTTGGAGAAGGAAGTTCCTCCAATAAAATGAGAAATGTGAAGTTTTGGTGCATAATGAGTTTGTAGATGTAGTTCCTACCTTTTTGTTGTGTTTTTAACTTATTGATGTGGAGTTGATGTTTCCTCCTAGTTGTGTTCATTTATATTGATGTTGCATGCATGATTGTGAGCTGCTAGTCTTGAGTCGATAACCCCTTAATGTGTTGAAAGTGTCATTCGAGGGTGAATGTTCCTAAGTGGGAGATAATGTAACGACCCTAAAAATGAACTAGGGAGACTAGAGCCTAACGTGTGTGCATTTGAATTGGTGTGAGGTTTGATATTGTTGTATGTTGTCCCGAGCTTTGGTTAAGGGGTTCAGGGGTCAAACGTCAAGGTACGACTCCCCACGGACCACCCTAGGGGTCCTTGAGGAGGACCCTAAGTCTAACCCAAAGGCTGCCCCAAATGACCAAAGTTGGCCAAAAGGGGGGTGACCTACGGAAGGGGTCCACGCCCCGTGGATGGCTTCCGTAGGTCAAGACCCCCAAAGGAGGTTCTCTGATCCAAACCATGATGGGACAGTACGGTCCCGTCAATCCATCCACAGTCCGTGGATGGTGACTCATGGATTGGACCTGCAATCTTGTTTTTTAGTTCGGCCTTGGTGGTGGTGAATTGGTAAATTCACCCCAAGTATTTTAAAGTGCATGGACGACTATTTTAAGTGTATTAACATATTTTAAGAGTATTAAAACATTGCAACCCTCAATTAGACTTCACCTCTCAAATCAAACCTTTCCCTCCCAAAAATATTCTCTCAAGAAACTCCATTGGAGATCAAGGTCAAGATCAAGCTATGGTTAGGGATTTCAAGGTGGTTCTTCTTCAATTTTTGTGGGGAATCAATAGAAAGGTATGGTGATCCTTCATCTAGGGTTAGCTTTCACCCTAGAGTCAATTTCAAAGAAG